TTTTTATGAAAAGGCTTAAATATATTAAATTAACGATTATTTTTGTTGAGTCTATAAATATTGACCTAAAATCTAGTGATAAATATTCATAAATATATTATATTAGTTATCAATCAATTAGAGAAATATATTGAGAAAGGATTTGATGATTTAATTTGAATGTCTTTTACTGTATAATAATATTAAACCTACAATATAAGTTAAATAGTAATTTTTAATATATTGATAATATTAATCTATTTATTTTTAAAAATATTATTAATAAACATATTTTTAATAAAGTAATAATAAAAAATTTAATGTATTAAATTTGACTTTTAGTACCTGTAATAATAATAAATGAGAATATTAAGATTTAATTTATAACTTAATTTTTGTTAAAATAATTTACAGTTTCAGTGACATTTATATTTTGCACGAAAATAATGCTAATTTTACTATTATGTTAATAAAACTAATCTCATTTAAATTAATAACATTATGTCTGTACTAAACAATAATTAATAATAATTTTAACAAAAAGTTATTATTTAATAAATATATTAAATTCATTTTAAATAAAAATTTATTTTAATCCCAAAATTTTATATTTCCCTTTAATTCAAATTCTTTAAATTATAAACTATAATATTTAAAAATTTAAAAATAAAAGCTAATTAATTATGTTCAAATTTCTCATAAAAAATTTTTAAAATCCTCACTAATTATTAATTTATGTATTTTTGAAATTTTCTTAAATTATTAGATCGTTTTATTAAGATTTTTAGGCAAAACTAAAATATTTCCCAAAGCATTAAAAAGGCAGACACTAAAAATGATTACATAAACATTTAGGACACATTCAATTTACATAAAACAAAACTAATTATCATTCAGTAGTAATCAATATTGACGTTTGACATTGATTAGTTAACCTTGTTAACCCTACCGTTTGTCCAAAAATACCATTTATTTTAAGTATATTATTGTTTGAAAAGAGTATTTTGCATAATTCCCAATTAATGATTATTATAAAGTTTGTTATAAGACCATTTATTTTCGTATTTATCAAATTTAATCATATTTATACAAACATAATTAAACATGATTTAATCATTTATATAGAAGTTGTTGAGAATTTATTTGAACATTATAAACAACAAACTCATTTAAATACAATCGTAATGTAAAACAAATTTATATTATAACAATCACAAAAATTATTTTAATCAAAAGTGTCTTAAATTACAAACAATGTTCACAAACTAATCACAAATCTAATGAGAAAAGGTATCCACAAGTGAGTCATTCCTACAGTGAATGCAATGACATGTTTAGTGCAATGAGTGATGAAGTTATCATTAAGTCTTTTGGAGACATTCAATGTCTTATCTCCGGTTCGTTTCACACGAGCGCTAACCATATCATAGGAAACCTTTTTCCTATCGTAAGCCCAACCGATTTTGGCGAAAAAGTCAATGAAAAGTGTTGTGAAATTCCAGTTGTATTTCCAGTCCAACTCAGACGCTGAATAATCCCTTTAATATGTAGACAAACAATATGTAGAAAATTATCATATATTTGAATATTTATTAAAAAGTTCTAAAAATAAATAAAAATTTGAAAACATACCAGGGAAAGGTGTGGTGATAATTGTGATACCCCTCACCAAATGTTTGAAAGTTAGCAAAATCAGACTCTCTGTCAAAATAATTTAAAAATTCAATACAATAAATACCTATTAATTTTTTCAACAATTGAATAATACCTGGGATTTATTGTAGTATCATAAGGTCTATTGCCATACAGATGAGCTGCTGAATTAATTAGCCAGGTGCTATTTGAATATTTGAATAAATGTCAAAGGCTTAATCAACAAAGTTAAAAATAATGCTGAATAATTTAAATACAAACTATAAAACTAGTCTCTATAATCTCACATGTTAAATTATAAATAAATATAGTTAATCAGTACTAAATCCATATTTATAAAATTATAATTTTGAATTATAGAGTAAAACGCCCTGCTCATAATTGGATTTCAGACATTGGATATACATAAAATGATCAAAATCTACATAAATTATATTGATCTAAATAAATAATATTTAAATAAAAGTAATGTCAGATTACATACCAGTTAAGTGTATAGCAATATCTAAATATGAAGCAAATGTAGAATGAATTATACAAAGTCTCTGACCATAACAGGTATGGTATAAGTGTCGGCAGAATGACACAAAATATTAATATTAAGAAACGATAGTTTTTATGCTGAAAGCGCACCAAAGGGTCGTCCATTAAGTCGCTTAAGTCGACGATCCGGCCTTTGGTGGTCACGTCTGGGTGTTTGCGACACAACAGCCAACCCACGTGTGCGAAGAAGAAGCCCCGGTTGGCGTTGTGGGGGTCGGCGTGTGTTTCCGAGAACTTATGGTGCACTCTATGGTCGCGACACCAGTCGTAGATACTGTTCTGGAGGGCCATTGTGTTGAACACAGTTAGCAGGCTTCTCATCGCGAAGTTGGCTCTGTATGACCGGTGAGACCATAATCGGTGGGCGCCCGCTGTTATGCCCAGTCCTGAAGTCAATGTTTAGAAACATTTTGAGATTTTATTCAATTAAATGCAATTTATTATTTAGCATACCTGAGCTCATATACATGAGGAACCAGGCGATCACTGTTTGGTATTTGGCGTCAGTTAGCATTATATAAGCGCCATATAGAGCACCGATATGTAGGGAACCCATCAATAGGACATTCCTCCACACTATTTGCAACTTGTATTCATTGTTCGCATTGTTTTGGTCATCACTTTTAGGCACCACTTCTGCGGTGTCTTCGTAATGAGGCACAGATTCCGCGGATCGACCGACCGGTGCCATCGGGTATTGGTTTGGATTTTAGGATTGAGATCAATATTTTTAAATTAAACCCCAAATATCGTCACAACTATTTAATTAAAAAAATTGTTTTTTATATTAAACAATACATATGAGGAAAGGTATACTGAATTCACACGGGTTTCAACAAAATTTAGATTTTAAACACTTTTTAATGAGATTTTGAATTAAAATGTTCAAACTTATGTTGTGTTATGTTGTCAATCAAAGTATTCGTGACAAAGAATTTGTGGCAAAAATTATAACAAAAATTAAGTCAAAATTCAAATGCACATTAAGGTATTAAAAAATGTTTGATAAAAATGTCTTATTGTTATGATTTTTATAATTGTCTGACCTTTTAAGCAGTTGAAGCCGATATCCTGTCACATAGTATTCAATGTCCGGATAAACAATATATACAATTGAATAGAGATTTCATGCAAAACTAATAGTCGTTAAGACAAGCGGTTTAGACTACAAATTGTATTACAAAACCTTAACCTTAAGTAGAAATTATATTTATTTCTATAAAATTATATCAAATAACAGTAAATAAACTTTTTTCAAAGTTTTTATGCATTGCATAGTATATGCATAGTATAATTTAACAAGCAAAAAATATTGTAGTTATAATGTTGTAAATACTTTAAATACTTTAAAATTAAAGATTTGTTACATTGTTTTGCTTAATATGAATCAAAATATTTTTTATAAGGAAAATGTAATTTTTAATTAAAACTGATTCAGATTATGTTTAACTGTAAATGTGGTTAATATTTTTGATAAACTAACACACATTTTGTGTTTACTAATTTATATATAAAATATTTAGGTATTTCTTACAATAAGTATTTAAAATGCAATGTCAAGACAGTGCAAAACAATTTGACTTTTAGATATACATTATCTACATTAAACTAAATAATAATCAAATCTTACAATATAGTTGCAATATAGTTTTCAATATGATCTGGAAAACTTTATTGTTTATAACGTAAAATACAATATCAAGCATCAAAACATTATAATTAGTTAATTTATTGACAAAGTAATATCAAAGCATTAGACTTAATGGATGAAAAAGTATATCTGAGAGAGCAATACCATTAAAGTGTTCTTGGTATTGTTAGGTCAGGTTAACCTGGAATATCAATAATATGGATTGATATTGCTCATTCAGATATGCTGTCATAGTATACCAGAATAAAATAGTTTTTGGTCGCACCTGGAGAAAAGGAGTTGGTTTTTGGTCAAAGTGGAAAATGCTAATTTAAATGAATTTAATATGATTCAAGTGTTTAATCAATGAATAAATAAAAAAAAGTGTAATGCAAAAGTAATAAAAAAGACAACAACTTAGAAATATCAGTTTGAATAAAACCCAAGGTTTGTAAATGTGTATGTAACAATTTATATACTGTACAGTACTCGTATAAACATGTTTATTATATTTATATGTATAAAAAACATAAATTCTAAAAATAGGGACAATTTCAACAAGTTAACTTAATTATAAGTAGTAATAGTAGCATAAAATGCATATTTCTTAATGAAAATATAAAAATAAAAGTTAAAAATAGTTACAATAGTCATAAGGATCTTAATATTTAAATAACAAATAACAAAATATTAATTTCGCACGTAAAACATTATTATTAAATATGATTCATTGATAATTTTAAATGGAAATTAAAATAGTTGTTTTTATTATGTAATATTCCCGTTAATTTGTTTGCCAATATATGTTTTCAGTTTTAACTAAAAGTAAAAGCAATTTAAATACATAATTAAGATTATAATTGTTGTAACGTTAGGAAATATTTGAGAAATATAAAGATTATTTTACCCGGAAGATATTAAAGACCAAACTAACAATAACAATTGTATTTTTTCCATCCAGTTTTATTATTTTATATATTCATTTATGTTTTACAAAAGTATTATTAACTTCGAGAAAACTTTGAGTCCATTTGTGGACTCATTGCATTAGATGTCAGTACTTGTGATAACCCCAACAAATTTCTGTATCAAGAATATTCTCTAATGAAATTAGCAATTAGATTGAATTTAAATGTTTAATGTGACATAAGATTTCAGGTTATTTAGTAAAATATTTCTAAAACATACTTGATCAAACTCTATTATTCAATTTACTATATATTTACGTGGAATCGAAATTCTTGATTTTAAGAAGAATATTTACAAATCTATTATGTAATTAATAATATAACTATAAAAAAATATTAAAATAAAAAAAAATTTAAAGTTGGTTGATTTGCCCATAAAATAGTATCAATCCATTAGTTTTGTCTCTTATAAAGTATAGGAATGGGTGGTCAGCTCTGAATATAATAGGTTTAGTATTTGTATAAAAACCGGACAATTTAAATAGTCTGATGGCCATAATGGCAGCCGCTTCTGTACCCATCACATCGACTGATATAAAAGTCTTGTGTATGACTTTAGCCACCGCTTGGCCCACATTTGGGTTGATTCGTGAAAAGTCCGCTTTAGGGGTCAGTGCTATTGGTTTGGGATTAATCTCTTTCATTAAGTCATAAGATTTCTCGGTTTTGAATTTTGGCAAAAATATTTCCAAATTCCTTTGTTTCAGTCAATTTATAGCTCTATCAAAGTTCTGTGAATTAATTTTGTTTTTCAATTCATTCAAACCATCTCTACGTTTGGGTAAAACAACGATAAAACTGATTTCCCTTCCCGTGTATTGCAATTCAAGAATCTGTGCATTCAATTCATTTGAATCCAAGTAATTCAAATAATCTCTACTCGTCATTGTGTCCACTTTTACACCATTTTGTCCGCTATTATAAAAATCCATTTTTTTAGTTGAATGAAATGGTTCCAACTAAAGGCCTAAAATATTGAAATATAATAAGTTTAATTAAAAATGATAGAAAATTAATAATAAAACCTTTAAAATATATGGCGTTAATAATAATGAGTGAAGTGTCGTTTTTTATAGTATCAAATATTTTCTCAATTTTATGATTAGTTTGATTGCGAACCCATTCATTCACTTTCTCTGTCTCTTCTCTATTATTGTTCACGAAATCAGCCGTTTGTATGTCTGCCCTATAATATTGTCGCACAGTATTTGCAAAGGTGTCCAAAAGTGGTAAATCATTGCTATTGATAACTTTATTGGCAATATTTAATTGATGACGGTATTTATCTGGGTTAAAGTGTTCATAAGGCATCAGTTTTGAAAAATTGACTTTTGGGTTAAATATATATAAAAATTAATAATTTACAAATACTCCATTTAATTTAAAATCTTACATTCATTGTGGTATTTATTGGTAATGAGTTTAAAACCATAATTAATAAACTCTTCGCCATATTCTGTATTTGGATATGAGTTAGTATATTAAAGAAATCGTTTCAAATCTATGAGGGTTTCGTTATTTACTCCATTCATGAGAATACCTGATATAATAAAAATTAATAAATTTTGTTACCTGTATAACTTAAAAATAAAATATTTTACTGAAAGCCGAGAGTATAGAAATAATAATAATAATAATAATAATAATAATATTTCGACAAATGGGTGACAATATGTCGTTTCCATCCTTTGCCAATGTGTTGAATATCTTGAATGCAAACCTATTATTTGTATCAATAACCACTTTCTGACTGTTAGGTAATAGTAATAACAGTGCAACTAATAATTCATGGATCTTTTTATATTTACTTTTTAAACAAGCAATTCAATTTTACAGGTAAGATCATTATTAACAATGTGTTTTTCTAACCAAAATGAATACATAAAACTATTTTTACTTCTGTAAGAACAGTTTTATAAATTATTGTAAATATTAAGTATTTTATAACTTTTATATACTTTTTGAAAAATATATTACATGAAAACGAATCCATGTACAATTTATTGATAAGGACACAAATGAAATGTCTTAAAACATGTAATTTAAGTTGAAGAATCGAAAGATACATTATTAATCAAATGTGTATTAATAAATCAATTATTCAGCAAAAATACATTTTTAAAAATAAATTCTACACCAATATAAATTGTAGACATTTATTGCAGAAATATTTATTTAATAAAATTGATTGGTGTGAGAAGTTTTTAAAGTTTAATAGTATTTCTAAAGCTTTATGATCACAATTTAAATTTAAGCATAAAGACAGTAGTAATTTTTAATTAAATTAAAAATTTAAATAAATTCATTATTTAAAACTAAATTTAAGTTAAATTAGAATTTATTATGCATTGTTAGAATAATATGTTACAGTATTGCATTACAATTTGATATACTAATATTTAAATAACACTTATATTACATTTTAAACTTTGTTATTTAAATAAATTAAAATTGGTTTATTTGTCCGTAAAACAAAATCATACCATTAGTTTGATCTCTTATGAAGTATATGAATGGATGATCAGCTCTAAAAATAATAGGATCAGGGTATATTTGTGCTGATTTGACAACCACTTTGATTGCAGTAACCGCAGCGGCTTCTGTGCCCTTCTCATCGATGGCTATAAAGGTTTTGTGTATGACTTCAGCCACCTTTTGATACCTATTTCCATTGATCTGCGAAAAGTCCGCTTTAGGGGTCAGTGCTATTGGTTTCGGATTAATCTCTTTCATTAAATCATAGGAAAAGAGCCAAAACTTAAAACCGTTTTTATAAAGGTGTATTAAAGAAAAGTAACTTCAATAAACTTTATCAAAGTTTTGTGAATTAATTTTGGATTTCAATTCATTCAAACCATCTCTACGTTTGGGTAAAACAACGATAAAACTGATTTCCCTTCCCGTGTATTGCAATTCCAGAATCTGTGCATTCAATTCATTTGAGTCCAAGTAATTCAAATAATCTCTACTCGTCATTGTGTCCACTTTTACACCATTTTGTCCGTTGTTATAAAAATCTAGTTTTTGCGTTAAACTCTTATAAAATGAATCCAACCAATTGCCTTAAAAATATCAAATTAAGATTAAGTTAATATACAGTAATGCTATTTAGTAAAATATTAAATTAATATGAATAAACCTTTAAAATATATGGCGTTTATAATAATGAGTGAAGTGTCGTTTTCTATAGTTTCAAATATTTTCTCGATTTTATGATTGGTTTGATTGCGAACCCATTCATTCACTTTTTCTATCTCTTCCTTATTATTGTTCACGAAATCAGCCGTTTGTATGTCTGCCCTATAGTACTGTCGCACAGTATTTGCAAATGTGTCCAAAAGTGGTAAATCTTTACTATTGATAACTTTATTTGCAATATTTAATTGATGACGATATTTATCTGGGTTAAAGTGTTCATAAGGCATCAGTTTTGAATCATTGACTTCGGGCTTAAATATATCTAAATATAATTTATATAAAAATTAGTAATTTACAAATCAAGTACTCCATTCAATTTAAAATCTTACTTTCGTTGTGGTATTTATTGGTAATAAGTTTAAAACTATGATTAATGATCTCTTGGCTATATTCTTGCGATGAATTTGTATACCGAAGGAAACGTTTCAAATCTTTAAGGGTTTCATTATTTGCTCCGTTCATGAGAATACCTGTTGTTAACCAAAAAAAATTAAAAAACAATTTCAAAAATTAAATAATAATTCTTTTACTGAATGCCGAGAGTATAGAAATTGGTGACAATATGTCATTCCCATCCTTTGCCAATGTGTTGAATATATTGAAAGCGAACTCATTGTTTGCATTTGTGATCACTTTATCCATATTCACTACTTTTGCAAACTTGTTTGGTGTTTTAGTAATTGTTTGCATCTCATTGTCGGCCAAAAGCAATAACAAAGCAATTATAAATTCATTAATCATTTTTTATTAATTAACTATTACAAATTATGAATTAAGTTTATTAACTACAAATATGGTTTGTTAACTTTTACTAAATACACAAAATTAGAATATTATTATAACTAACTTGCTAGTGAAGAATAATATTTCTAATGTTTAAATAAAATAAAATTATATATGAAAATTATATTTCTAATATAATATTCTTGATTTATAAGTATTTGAAAACTCTTTTTATATTTATATCCTTTGTAATTATTTCATAAATCTAGTAAAGATTATGAATCTTGTCTATGAGATAACACAAGAAACTTATAAATACTGTATAAACTGGATAAATAAGTGATAAAAACATGAATCAATTTATTTATAAATTGTAAAATTCCAGCGAAATAGTCAAAATATTGATTTGGTATTAACTGTGATTTTATTTTCAACTTAAAATTTAATAACTTATTCAACAAAACATGTTTTCAAGAAATACAATTATTCCGATACAATATTAAAAATAAAACTTTATTATGAAAATATTTACATAAGAGTATACAGTAAAGTTATTTATAATTTTCATTATTATATATATTATTCTATAAAATATAAAATCATAATATAAGATACTTTGAAAGTAATCATCCATTTTATACGATATATATTATATAATTACAAATTATTTGATAGAGAAGTGATTGATTGGTAAAAGAAATAACAAATGAATGTAAATATAACAATTTGTTATGTCAATATTAAAATGACATTTAAATTACGTTTAAAAACCTTGTTGAAAATTAAAATTTGTTGATTTGTCCGTAAAACAAAATCATACCATTAGTTTTATCTCTTATGAAGTATAGAAATGGGTGATCAGCTCTAAATATAATAGGATCAGGATGTATTTGTGCTGAGAGGGGAACAATTTTGATGGCAGTGACGGCCGCGGCTTCTGTGCCCTTCTCATCGATGGCTATAAAGGTTTTGTGTATGACTTCAGTCACCTTTTGAGGCACTTCTCGATTGATCCGCGAAAAGTCCGCTTTAGGGGTCAGTGCTATTGGTTTCGGATTAATCTCTTTCATTAAATCATAGGATTTCTCGGTTTTGAATTTTGGCAAAAATATTTCCACATAATTTCTTTTCATTGAAGTTATNGTTTCGGATTAATCTCTTTCATTAAATCATAGGATTTCTCGGTTTTGAATTTTGGCAAAAATATTTCCACATAATTTCTTTTCATTGAAGTTATAACTTTATCAAAGTTTTGTGAATTAATTTTGGATTTCAATTCATTCAAACCATCTCTACGTTTGGGTGAAACAATAATAAAACTGATTTCCCTTCCCGTGTATTGCAATTCAAGAATCTGTGCATTCAATTCATTTGAGTCCAAGTAATTCAAATAATCTCTACTCGTCATTGTGTCCACTTTTACACCATTTTGTCCGCTATTATAAAAATCTAATTTTTGCGTTGAACCCTTATCAAATGAATCCAACCAATTGCCTAAAAATATTAAAATATAGATTAAGTTAATACAGATATACTACTTATTAAAATATTAAATAAAAATTTATAAACCTTTAAAATATATGGCGTTAATAATAATGAGTGAAGTGTTGGGTTCAATGGTTTCAAATATTTTCTGGATCTTATGATTAGTTTGATTGCGAACCCATTCATTCACTTTCTCTGTCTCTTGTTTGCCATTATTGACGAAATCAGCCGTTTGTATGTCTGCCCTATAGTACTGTCGGACAGTATTGGCAAATGTGTCCAAAAGTGGTAAATCTTTACTATTGATAACTTTATTTGCAATATTTAATTGATGACGATATTTATCTGGGTTAAAGTGTTCATAAGGCATCAGTTTTGAATCGTTGACATCGGGCTTAAATATATCTAAATACAAATTAAATAAAAATTAATAATTTACAAATAAATTATTTATTGATAATCTTACTTTCGTTGTGGTATTTATTGGCAATGAGTTTAAAACTATGATTAATGATCTCTTGGCTATATTCTTGCGATGAATTTGTATACCGAAGGAAACGTTTCAAATCTTTAAGGGTTTCATTATTTGCTCCGTTCATGAGAATACCTGTTGTTAACAAAAATTAATAAATTTTCTAAAAAATTAAATAATAAAACGTTTTACTGAATGCCGAGAGTATAGAAATTGGTGACAATATGTCATTCCCATCCTTTGCCAAAGTGTTGAATATATTGAAAGCAAACTCATTGTTTGCATTTGTGATCACTTTATCCATATTCACTACTTTTGCAAACTTGTTTGGTGTTTTAGTAATTGTTTGCACCTCATAGTTAGGTAAAAGTAATAACAAAGCAATTATCAATTCATCAAGCATTTTTATTTGTTTATTAATTAACTATTACAAATTATTAATTGTGTTTATTAACTATAAATATGGTTTGTTAACTTTCACTGAACACACAAAATAATATTACAGTGTAACTAACTTATTAGTGAAGAATAATATTTAAAACACTTAAATAAGTAATAATTATATAAAAATTATATTCATAATATAATATCCTGGATTTATAAGTATTTGAAAACTCTTTTTATACAATATTTATATCCTTTGTAATTGTAATTTATTTCAGACATCTATGAAAAATATATTATATTCTCTGAATGTGAATCTTGTTTATGAAATATCACAGGAAACTTATAAACACTGTATAAAATTGATAAATAAGTGATAAAATCATGAATCAATTTATTTATAAATTGTAAAATTCAAGCGAAATAGTCAAAACATTGATTTCTTATTAACTATCACTTCATTTTCAACTTAAAAACTCAATAACATATTCAACAAAACATGTTTTCACAAAATACAACTATTCCATTATAATATTAATAATAAAACTTTATTAAGAAAATATTTACATAAAAGTATACAGTAAAGTTATTTATAATTTTCATTATTATATAATATAAACTATTCTATAAAATATAAAATAATAATAAGAGATACTTTGAAAGTAATGATTCATTATATATATACAATATAATTAGAAATATTGAATATATTTGATAGAGAAGTGATTGATTGGTAAAAGAAATAATATATGAATACAAATATAAAACAAATGTTTAGCCGACGAGTCCGCCTCCAGTTCCCGCTTTCTTGGCGGCGGCGGCCTTAGCGCCAGCAGCGGCTGCTTTAGCACCGGCAGCCTTGGCGGCCGCACCCGCTTTAGCGGCAGCCTTAGCACCGGCCGCGGCGGCGAAACCCTTTTTACCGGCTTTGCCCGCCTTTTTGCCTCCGGCGGCGGCCGCAGCGGCAGCCTTACCGAACTTCTTGCCGGCGGCACCGGCAGCCCCTCCCGCGGCGAACCCACCGCCAGCCTTACCAAACTTGAAGCCCTGACTCATGCCAAACGTCTTGACGGCGCCGAACTTGGCGTTGTGTCCGGCGGCGAACGCTTTGCCGAACTTTCCCTTTTTGCCCGCTTTGGCGAACTTCTTGCCGGCGGCGCCGAACGCACCGGCCTTTCCTCCCTTCTTGCCTCCAGCGGCCGCACCCGCACCTCCGGCCGCGAAACCGGCGGCTATTGTGTCGATAAACAGGAGTACAGCCGTTGAATACAATGCACTCAAACATGTTATCAATAATATATGCTTAGACTTACTTTTTCCTCCCTTAGCGCCGGCAGCCGCACCTCCTGTAATGCGTGGGACAGGCGATCATTAATCATATTTTTTTGTGGTATTAGTTAGTATTCCTGTAGTGCCATACCCTTAGCTCCAGCAGCGGCGGCAGCAGCTCCGCCCTTAGCGAACTTGGCACCGGCAGCAGCGGCAGCTCCACCACCCTTTCCAGCGCCACCCGACTCGGCAACAGCCAGGTCTACCTCACTCGCCTCGCTCTCTAACTCATCGTCGAGGGGACTCTCGTCAAACTCCTGGGCGAAGGCGCCCAATATGACCACCGATAGGATCAACTAAATTCACATTTCAAACAAAATAATTCATTTATAGTTGATATTCAAACAAAATTCAAACAAATGTCTTAGCATTACATACATATTTGAAAAGCATGTTTGTTAGCAAACTATTGTATTAACACTTTTCCTAAACGCTGCTAACAATAGGACTGTTAGGTTTCATTCACAAAAAAGTTTTTATATATGGTTTCAAAATACGCGATCAAGAATTTCTGTGTTTTTCAAATTAAATTAGGTTTAATTTTTGTTGTTTTTTGGCTAATTTTTTCGACACTAATTATGAACTTGAAATTATTGTTCAAAAAAGTAGCTAAATATTTCACACATATTTCACAGCTATGTCTATAGGACTCCAGCATTTGCCATACCTGACCTTAAGGGAGCCGTCAAAGTTATTGTAGCTGATATCCGCTTATAACTTAAGTTGATACATTTAGTTTTGTAAAAAAGTGATTATTGAAAATGTATACATTTTGCATGTTATGTTTGAAACCATAAGACGTTTTTTGCATTCAATGATTTCCATTAATGAGATCTCAAATCATTCATTCATTTAGTTTAAAGACATTTGATTTCCTTATAGTTTTTGTAAGTTATAAGCAAATAGTTTTAATGCGACAAATAGTCAAATATTTGAAAGATATGTCAGTTTTAGTTCACTTGGAGTTTAGTCAAAACAAACATAACTATGTTATTCCTGTTCCTTCAATTATCAGCAATATTTTATATTAAAATTTAAAACATTTTTACTGAGTATTATTCAATATAATCTAGCATTAATATATTATAATATCTTATAAATTTAAAGTGAAATAAATAAATTATAATTTTATAATCATTAAGAAATTTTTTATTTACTGTTAATAACTTTATTACCATACCCTTATCGTAAACTCTTATCATAAATAATTGACTAAATAAATATCCTTTGATAGCTTAAAATCAAATCAAACTCATACTTTTATAATATTACAGAATATTTTTTATAAAGTGAAATCTTCTAATTGAATGACAAAAACCTTGAAATTTTTATATTAAATTCAAAATTCATGACATCTGTTAAGAAATATAAACAAAACATTTTTAAGAAAAAATGTAATTACAGTTATAATAAGCCATAATTTTCATGTAATTTAAATAGCATTTCCATAGGAATTAGTAAAAATATTAATCAATTTGAACTTAAACTTGAATTTAGAGACATGACAGGGAGGAGGAGGACAGGGGCACGGGATCTAAATACTGCTCATTAATGCACTAAATTTACCAGTTTTAACGCCAGTTATTAATTGAAAATCAGTATGATTGCTTTATATTTAATATACAGTGTATAATATATGCATTCAAAAGTGGTCCTAAAACTATAAATTAATATTTGTCGAAAAAAACTCCTATTGCTGTAATTGAATACACGGAATTTTGCCTTGATTACAATGACTATATATAGAAATACAGGTAGATATAAAGGATATGCTTTACTAATCAATTAACTTCACTCGCATGCATATAATGTGAAGAATAAACACTATAATAAGACAACTTTAATTATTCAGACAATTCTTTACTGTTAAGATTTGTTACAAAAACTGCAGTCACTATTCAATGAATTAGAAATGGTTTCTCGCCCTAAAACATCCCCACTTATTCTCCATCTATTTTCCATCCAAAAACCTACGCAAATAAAACGCTATTATAAAGGAGTTGACGAGAGAGAGCGAGAGAGCGAGAGAGAGAGAGAGAGAGAGAGAGACTGTTTGCAAAGACGACGAATTGTCTGAATTTTAATGAATGATAAGTTAGGAATAAATTTATTTTTCATATACAGTACATAAACAGTAAATATAAATATATAACAAAACTTAGTTTCCAATCACAGCCAGGAATATAACCTCTAAAACCCACTCAATTTTTGCTTGAAGTTCATGAAAAACTTCATATACTGTGCATAACATACCTCTTCTTCTTTTTGATCACATTTTGATGGCAAACAAAACATAATATATTTTATGAAAAAGTTTTATTCAATTTAAAGGTGTAATTCTCATTCCCATTCAGTATTATATGTGTTGTGGTGATAGTGTCAATCAATAGAGACGACAATAAAAGTAGTAATAAAAGAAATATTTTATAATAAAAGTCTATTGAAAAGCAATGAATTCTTCGTCCGGGCATTATTGTCAGTGAGCAGTAATATTATGCTCTTTATTTAATTTATAAAAGCTACTTATACTGTAATTATCACCAAAATATTGGTCAGCTAACCCAAATAACTTCAAACACTAAGACCATACTATTATGCAAAAAAGTCTCAATTTATTACTAACTATCAAGAAATTATAATAAATAAATTAGATTTAAAAGATATTTTATGTGATATAATACAATCTAATCATAAATCTAGCTATTAAAGTGTTAATCATTAATACAAAATGAATTAAAAACTATTAACTTGTAATAAAATACTAATTAATTACTATAAATTATGTAAATATAAAACATAAATTTTTATTTTGCTTATAATTAATGAATTTAAAATTAAATATTTTAATAAATAATAAAACTAAAGAATATAAAACTACAAAAAATTGTATAATTAATTAAAAATATCTTTTAAACCTACAGTTCCTGTCGCTGATATGCCTGATCCTAGTGTTGGCTGAGACCCAAACAGCCGCCTGTTCTAAGAGCGACAGACGACTGTCCGATCAGATGACTGCCCGTAATAACAGTCACTCGTCATTATAATACGAGAAATAAATTAAATATTTTCGATGAATATGACATTAATAGTGGTTTTATAACCAGTCGATTGGGTTTATTGAAGTTTGTGATTCTGGTATGACTTATGCAAAAAATCTAAATTTATTACTAACTATCAAGAAATTATAATAAATAAATTAGATTTAAAAGATATTTTATGTGATAATATATAATACAATCTAATCATAAATCTAACTATTAAAGTGTTAATCATTAATACAAAATGAATTAAAAACTATTAACTTGTAATAACTTGTAATAAAATACTAATTAATTACTATAAATTATGTAAATATAAAACATAAATTTTTATTTTGCTTATAATTAATGAATTTAAATAAAATATTTTAATAAATAATAAAACTAAAGAATATAAAACTACAAAAAATAGTATAATTAATTAAAAATATCTTTTAAACCTACAGTTCCTGTCGCTGATATGCCTGATCCTAGTGTTGGCTGAGACCCAAACAGCCGCCTGTTCTAAGAGCGACAGACGACTGTCCGATCAGATGACATGCTATAAGATATACACCGGAGATCTGTTCCTTCTGTTGGTTAACTTTTGCCACTTATATGTCATCGTCTTAATGGCCGTCACATCCCTCTTCTCCATTACCAGTGAATCATTGCTACCGAAGACTACTTTTGTAAGTTTGCTGTCATTTGGTTTAATATTGATTTTGGTGGACAGATGGGACAGGAATGTGAAATACAGGTGAATGTATTGTAAGGTACATGGGGTGGTATTAATTTTAGGGCTTGTATACAACAAATATAGATATATACTACAAATATTATACTACTGCTGCTGTTTGTAATAAATTGGTTTTAAAATAATTGATAAATTTTTATTAGTAAGAATAGAAAGAAACATAATTAGAAAACATTAAAATTAAAATTAAATAAAATTATGTTATAATTAACGAGCATTTTGTTGGACAGGATTACGTGTTTCATCACTTGGCGTTTGGTCTATACCTGATTGCAGGCGTATGGGTGCTGATCGACTCATTATCTGATGGCAGGACTGGTACCATTATAACCGGATCGGTATGCAACTTACTATGCCAATTACTGAGACTATTAGGCACTCAATATTACACATAATTGTAGCTAAAATATGTGAAATTATAATTTCCAATCAGTTGTTCGCATTGATGTGTTCGGCCGGACATCTCTTTCACGGCATGTATTCCTACACTAAAAGTTTGGACGTTTGAGATGAACATGGATTTGATATAAAAGCTACCATTACATCAATATTTGAAACAGTATTTCATAAATTTAAAATCTATAATACTTTCGATACAAATATTAAACAAATTATCAATAAGTTTTAATTAGAGTTCAAATACAAAAGAATTATTATTTTATTTACACTTATTTATTTAAAATTATTTTTTAAACTATATACATTTGATTGGATAAAATATTACTTGTTTAAAAATTAAAGCACTTAAATATTATAATTAAAATATTTTTTAAATACAATGATTATTTTAGTTTTGCTACCGATTTATGAGCGGGGTGTCAAAATTATTGATCTTTTTGACCCCTATTATTATGTTTAATACAAACAGTTTTATTTTAATATTAAATATGATGTCTGAAGTGTTTTTCAAACACATTAAACTAAACTAAATAAATAAATCCTTATGCCTTATCTGACATTTAATGGGAATACACTTATTGTTCACT